GAGATAACTTGTAATACCAAAAAATTAATAGCCATCTAAATCTGACCCTGAAGTCAGAATTGAATTATTCTTAGTTTCCAACCTCTGCTCTTGTCCTGTGTTTATAGGAAACCTGGAAATACATTACTTTTAACTAATTTGATTTTCACCCTAGAAGGTTATCTTTTATTTTTTAAATTTTCCCATGGCAGTTTTGTTTTATATGAGAATAGTTCTCCAAAGAACAGAAACTTTACTGCCTTGAAATCCGATTGGGTCTCAGTTCTACTACCTGTGAACATGGGCAGGATGCTTAATCTCCCATTTGTAAAACAGGGGAATTAACAGTAGCCCTGCCCTACTTAAGTAACATAATGCTTGGAAAGTCACTTTGGAAACTTACAGAATTGGTAAGTATTATATTTGTGGGTAGCATTTTAAAGTAAGGGGAGGGAGAAGAAATTACATTTGCCTAACTGCTAAATACCATAGCTTTTGTCAGGCCCTTTATATGTCTATTAGCTCCTTTAATCCTCTGATTTAAGCATTGTGGTCTTCATTCCACAAATGAGAAAACTGTGATTCAAAGATGTAAACCAGGACATATCTGATACTCAACTCTGGTACATGGTAACACGTGGGTTTGAATTCACTTTAATTCTAAAGCTTATACTCTTTCCACTACCATGTGCTCCTGAATGTTCTGTAAAACACTTGTTAAAAGGTAGATTTCTGTTATCTCCAGTGACCTGAAATGCAGGTTGGAAATTACGCTTTGGGAAACCTTTGAAGGGCCACTCCAAAGGTTATAAAGAGATTGGAAATGTGTGCCTTCTGGTACTGATACCCACAAGACTTCTAGCTCCCAAATATATCATGGGGCTATGTCTTTGGGAATTGTAGTGCATCCAGAAGCTTTCTGCTTTGCTAAATGAGAGGGCTAGGTGAAATTATTTTTGCTAAAGTTTTACTGAACTCTAAATTCGGATGAGGAGGGAAATAAGACACACATATAATATAATCACTTTTCCTTCCTTTCTTTTTTCCTTCCTTTCCTCTTGCCCTCCCTTCCTCACCTCTTCCTCCTTCCTTCCCTCCCTCCCTCACTTACTCCCTTCCTCTCTCTTTGCCTCTCTCCCTCCCTCCACTCCTTCAACAAGTATATAGTGAACACCTCCTGCACACCAGGCACTAGTGCTAAGCACTGTTTTCAAGCTCAAGAGATGTGTTTGCTAGATGAATTTCTTTCCTATTTAGTTGTTAAAATCTGCAGTACATTGAAGAGTCTGCAGTACCAGAACTTGTTAGAGAAAGAAATAGTTATATTTCCCATTTAACATTTCTCCCAATCCTCGTGGACTTGCTTCTAAATATATCATAAAATTAAGTATACAGTTTTGAATCTAAAGTTTAAAACATAAAAATATTAATGAGGGCAAACAAGGGAGAAATGACACTTTTAATGAGAAATGATTGTTGTAAATATTCACATAATAGTACTGGTAATAGTCTGAAATTTCAGTTCTTACAAATGAGAATTCCGACCGTATCTCCCTTTTCTCTCTCAATGAGAGCAATAAATAGTTAGAATTAGTTATGTCTCTGTTATACATGGGTTTGTAGTATAAAGCCAAATTCTATTCTGGCAAAGGAAAACCAAATATACACTTCTACAGTATTGCATATGTTAAAACAAAACAAGCCTCCTGAATGTTTTGTTTGTCTTTTTTGAAAAATAATATCCTGAAAAGCATTAAACACAGGAAAACAATATTAAAGCTGGTGTTTTCCAATATGTAAAAATTCTGGATCTAAGCTGGTTTACAAACTAAAACCCTAACTTGTTTTGCAGCCTTTGAGGAGTTTGATTAGAATGATTAAATAATGTGGGTTTTAAAGAAAAATGAAAACCTCCCAGATCGATGCCACACAGCACAGCTAATGTGTTTCTTCTAGATGTAGTCTCAGAAGAGAGTTTCAGTTTACATGTAACACAGGCCTGAACGACCAAGGAGCGAATTTGCTTTTAACAAGTCCGAGTGATAATCGTGATATTTTGCCCTTTAGTTAATGGTGCAAAGTTTATTTCTCAGTAGGCTTTTTGTAAATGAGATGCTTGTTTAAAAGTCATCTTATTTGCAGGGCTTTTTCTGTTTTTGAGAGATTTGTTTTCTCTGACTTTGAAATGCAGTGAAATCCTTTTAGAAAAAACAAAAAACAAAAAACTCTCTCTTCAATAGACTTTAAATATGCCCGGATCACATCATGGCCCCTGAAACATAACCATGTGGAGAAAGCATAGTGTAGCACTGTTAGCTTCTAAGGTCAATAGCCTCCTTCTCCCACCCCCACTTCACACCCCCATTTCCATTAAAAAGGATTTATATTTTCCATGTTTATGTAATTTACTACTGGGTTAAGTGTGCAATCTTAGAGTTGCTTCCAAAGATTAAGTTAGATGCTGCTTCTGTGCTAGAGAACTCCATACCCAAATATAACTCACTATGCAGTAGCAAAAGGGATCCTTAAAAGCCTTATTCTAAAGGTGACAGATGGGTGTGATGGAATACTTTCATTGACCAAGCCTTCTGAGAGAGGGAACTAACTTGAAGAAAAACTCCCTTTTTGGGAGGCCGAGGCAGGCGGATCACGAGGTCAGGAGATCAAGACCATCCTGGCTAACACAGTGAAACCCCGTCTCTGCTAAAAATACAAAAAATTAGCCAGGCGTGGTGGCGGGCACCTGTAGTCCCAGCTACTCAGGAGGCTGAGGCAGGAGAATGGTGGGAACCTGGGAGGCGGAGCTTGCAGTGAGTTGAGATCCGGCCACTGCACTCCAGCCTGGGTGACCGAGTGAAAAAAAAAAAAGAAAAAGAAAAAGAAAAGAAAAACTCCCTTTAAGAGTTCCATCTAGTTAGGAGTGAAAGAACACTTATGGAGCACCTCATGGGAGGCAGGAACTTCTAAGTACTTGGAGGAATGACCTCTCATAGGAGGCGTCATCTCCATTTCACAGATGAAACCAAATTGAGGTCTTCAAGGCCCTGCCCAAAGTCATAAAACTAAAATGGCAGAGCAGGAATTGGAATCTAAGCGTTCCAAGGTGGAGTCTGTGATCTTCTCAGGACATCGCCCTCTCTCCATGAGGCAATACTCTGAAGAGTATGTGATTTACTTGACACTCTGGGCTTTCACTGAATTCATGCCCTTGGGACTGAAGGTAAGACAGTGCCACTAACCTCTGACAATATATGATTCCTTTGTGGGAGCCATTCAAAAGTAATAAACAATGATTCAGAGTGTCCAAATCTGATGGTTAGATAGAATTCCTAAAGGCTACCAGGTTTCCTTTTGTTCTGGGAAATTAACTGAATCAGTGACAATTACAGTTTCCTCAAGTATTTTTTTATGGTAACAAATGCTTGTATACTAAGGGGTAGTAGCATTGTTAAGAGGCTAGGAGCACAGTTTTTAGAGTTAGACAAAACTGGGTTCAAATCCCAGGTCTGCCACTTACCTGCTTTGTGACCTTGAGACAGTTGTATACCTAACCTATCTAAGACTTAGTTGTTCATCTACAAAATAAGAGAAATAATAATACCCACTTTATAAGGCTGCTGTAAGGATGAACATAACACCTGTGACTGACAGTCGAGTGCCTGGGATATTTTAAATGCTCAATATGTGTGAGTTAACATTACAATCATATAGAGTCTGGGTTAATTCATGGGACCTGTTGGATAGTAATGACAGATCAGGGAGATACTATTTTGGTAAGAAATGTTGTGGCTTATTTTATCTGTTATCTACCTGTCTGTCTATCTGTCTATCCATCTATCTATTTGTCAACTATCATGTAAATCTATCTGTTTTTACCAGGCAGACTGAAGAGAAAAAGAGGAAAGTTTCATTTGGCAGTGTAGATAGTCAGTATCACTACCAAGTACCCCCACTGGCTGCTAACTCAGATAACAAAAGTAAAATGTGGAACAAGGTATCCTGGTTCAAGTTACCTATATTTGTGTGTTAATATAGCCATGGATGATTCTTATACATGAAACAATATGTACTAAGTTTTCTTTATCCTAAGAAGTATGAACGCATGTTTTTATAGATGTATGTGATATGTGTGTGTGTTGGTGTGTTGTTGTGTCTGAAGATTGGACTAGGGCTGACAAAAACAGGGAAAAATAATTGTTTTATAAATCATGTTAACAACTGTGATATCAGAAAAATCTTCTGTGAAGTAAAGCAATGAAACAAACTCTCAAGATAGAAATGTATTCGTGTTAAGTGTGGGATTATTGTTAATAAAGTACATTTTTAATTAATCATTATTTCTAGGCACATATAGTTTTCATCACTGGGACAAACTGATGATTTCTGCCGCTTTTTTTTTTCTCTGCTTTAGGTGAACTGATTGACAGGTAATTGTTTCAGGCAAGGAACATGAAATTAAACATGTAGAAGTGTACAAATGTTTGTTATTTTGAATTAGAATGCTTGTGTATTCTTTTTTATACATTTATACTTGCTTTTGACTATCAATATAGGTAGAAGAGCTTTGTAAATTGTAAAGCAATGTATCAATATTAATTTTTGCAACTTTAGTTGTGACATGGAAAGAATCTTGATCATCTTAAGAAACATTAATTTTCTAAAATACTAACATATGTAGTTACAGAATGTGGGGATAATGTTTTTAATATGGACAGAAATAAAAGCAAAATAGCTTTTTAAGAAGCATTTTCATGCATTTCAGAAGAGATCACTACGGGGGAGTATTTTAGGGTGAGGGGTTGCATAGATACCTCTTTACATCATGCAATGAAGAAGAATCTACTCAAAAATGTGGAAAAAGATTAACCTTAGAGGAGATGGAGTTTGCTAAAAAAAAAAAACCAAAAAACCGATACTTCATCTGCAAAGCAGAACATTCTTACTTCAAATGTGTCCCTTGGTGCAGTACTTATAAACAATGTCAGGTAGAAAACTATAATGACTTCCTTTGTCATTTGCAGAAAGCAGAAGCCACTGGAGAAAAACGGCCAAGAGGCAGACCTAGGAAATGGGTGAGTAATAAGATATAATTTTTCTTCTTTTTTTTGGAAAGAAAAATTTCTGTTGTATTAAATGAGAAAAGTTTTATTTCGTCGATTACATGAATTTCCAACTTCTGGTTTGATGAATCTTTGAAAGGGTTAAGGCAAGAGACAAATGATCATCACTTCCTACCACTAGGCTCCAGGTGTTTACGCAGAACACTTTTCTTTCCTGAAGGTGGACTCATTTTTCTATCTCTTATCAACATCAAAAGAGGCTCCACTCTTCCTTCAAATGGGGTAACAATGAGATGATTTGTTCAGTAGATTGAGTAACTAAAGTTATAGGGTATTATGAAACCTTGGAAGTTGATTACAAATGGTGATAAAATTCATACACAATGTGTATGTGATAACTTTTTAATGTTTTTCTTTTTCTTTCTATTTTTTTTTTTGTTTTCTCCATGGCTTTTTTTTTTTTTTTTTTTTTTGGACACATCTCATTTTCTAGGTGGTTTGTGTTTTCTTTTTCACATGGCTTTGTTAGGAAGCAAGGGTTTATTTCGAGTTTTTCTTGCTTCCCTTAGTAGTCATTCTCCACATGCAAACATTAGAGATAGCTGTATCCATACAAGTGCACTTAATCCCATAGGCACACAGATCCTGTATCTTTTGAGGCCAGAGATTCAGTCGCCACTGAAGAGCTTTGCTAATTTTATTGCTTGAACCTTGTTCCCTTGGTTGCTGTGTTACCCATGTTCTTCTGGTCTGTCTTTCCCACTGACAGAGAAGTCCTAAAAAATGAATGAACTCGTTTCTCAAGAAGGATGAGGGCATCCTTTATACCCAATGTTGTATATAATGGGTTCTTTGGCTTTCCTTTTTCCTCTTCCCCAGTTCATTCTTCACGCTCCAAATTTTAAAAAGTTTTTTTTTTTTTCTGTTATGCTGGATTATATGTTCCTGTTTGCCATTCCTTTCTCCTGTAGAGTTCTGCATCACTTTCTATTTATACTTTGGTATTGCCTTTCATTTAATTTATTCATCTTGTATTTTTCCTCTGCTCAACATGTGTTGGGATTAGATTTCTTAGCACAAGGAAATGGGATGATCTTTAGATGAAAAACATCTCAGTATTAAAGTGTAACCTTAAAGTAAGGATATTTCATTCAACCTTCTGTTCATTAACTTAGTTCTCTCCAAACCTGCTTATCAAGTGGTGATCATCTAGCCTGTGCTTGATTACCTTTAAAGTTAGGGAACTTGCTACCTCTCAAGGCTGCCTCTTTATTCTAGGAAAGTTCTGAACATTAGAAAATTATTCCATCTGACTCCCTGTAACTTCTGTCCACTGTCTCTAGGTCATCCTCCTGGAACATACAGAGTAATTGTTTTCACTTTCACTCATGATATCCCTGCAAACAGTTGAGGAAAATAAACACATATTCTTTGTATGTATCTGTGTTTGTATGTAACACATACTCCAGTTTTCTCATTTTTTCCCCATAAAGGAACGTTCTTGTTGTTCTTTTCTGAGCATGTTTGTTCTTTAATCTTTTGAAAGATGTCACCTAGAACTAAATATCATATTTCAGGTGTGGGTTCCATAACAAGTGGGTTTATCACCTTCCTTATTGGACATATGATTCCAGTTATCGATTGCTGCTTAGTTAACCACTCTAAAACTTCATAGTATAAAAAAAGATTTTATTATGCACATGGATTCTTTGGGTCAAGGATACAGGCAGGGTAGATAGAGCAGAAAGTCTTGTCTCTGCTCCATGATGTCTGGGGCCTTCACTGGGAAGACTCAAGCATCAGTGGATGACTCTAACACTTGGGATCCAGAATCTGGAGCTGTTTCACTTACAAGTCTGGTGCTTTATCAAGATTGACTGGAAATCTGGGTGGGTCTGGGAGTATGTGCACTGGATCACCCATACATGGCCTCCCCAGGATAATCAGCCTTCTTAACATGCACTCAGAGCTCCCTCTGGGAGTGTTCTGGTAACTGAGGAGGTAGCTGCAAGGCCTTTTTTGCCTTAGTCTCAGAAGTCAAAAACTGCTGCCTTCATTATACTCTAATGAGCACATTGTTGACTAACTTGATATTGACATACATATCAAATAGAGATCTGCTGTTTTCTAAGCATCAGAACTCTAAAAGGACATCCCATACCATTGAACATTAATAAGAAAGATGTGTATAATCTTTCTAATAGATAGCATAATAGAAAATAGATGAGTTATTTGAAGTCATGGGATTAATGTAGCTAAAATGAAATAAAATAAATTGTAAGCAACTACAGTGGCAGTTAACCAGCAAACTAACCTCCATCAAATGGGGCCTCTTAACTCTCTCAGCCTTTCATCTCCTCTGCCTTTGGACTGTCCTATAATGGTCACCAATTCACCTCCATAGGTTAGAGTCCTGTCGTCTCAGAACCTTCCTATGGCTCCACATCTGACCAGCTAATTAATTACAACCCATCCTAGTACTTCGAAGTCACCCGGTTTACATCTACCTTTCTTTACAGTTTTCTTTTTCACCACGCATCCTTAAACAGTTGATTAATCAGCCAAGCCGGAGTAAACTATAGAGCAATTATATGTTTTTTTCTTAACGGGTTCTTGCTAATTTAGTGGGGGATCTGGATTGCAGGCATTCGATCTTCCTGCTGGGTAAGAAGCGCATGTGAGGCGCCCATCACAGAAATCCTTGCCTTTCTGAGAATAGCCGGGCCATTTTCTTTGACTCTCCTGGTTTCTAATTTTTACTGGCTGTGAGAATGGAAAATATTATGCGGTGAATTGTTACAAGTCCCTGATTTGGTCCCCAAAGAAGAGTTGTTCTACTGAGAAGAGGAAATAAAAGGAAATTGTATATTTTTTCTAGACAGCGTGTTTCCTCTTTGCTTGTATATCTTCTGTTGGGTAGAGTATGCAGCCAGTCACAGCAAGGCATTCCGTTCAATGGCATTCTTTGCTGGAAAGCTTGTACTGAAGAAATAAATTATTGCATTTTCCATAGGAAATGGGCTTATACTTTATAGCAAGTTCAATTCTTTCCAACAGTGTCATTCACCGATTTCCTTGAGTTAGAGATATATTTTTGAACTGACTGGATTCATTAGGTATATGGGTTAGAAGCCAAATTGTTCCCCTTTTATTCTTGTGGGGTATTTTGCTTTGTTTTAGAGCTCTTGTGCTTTTAAAACTTGTTCCAGTAGATATTATAGATTCATGTAAGAGGCCTGGGAAAAGATACTTAGCGAGGAATCATTTGATCTGATGTAATTGGGATCGGTATGGGTAGGTGTAGGAGAGAAACTTCAGTCAGTCTTGCTTTCAGAGGGCATGAAGCATTGACCAATCCAGTGATCTAATGAGTGTGTTAAGTAGATTTGCTTAAGAACACGTCTATTGTTTACTTTAATTCCCTTCATCTTTTTTTTTTTTAATCCCCCTAGTTTGAACTGGATTTCAGATCTATTATTTTTATGAGGTGGTCTGATTTTCAAGGGGGGTGTGTGTGTGTAGAAGAGGCTAGAGGTAAACGGGTCTCTTTTTTTGGGGGCTTTTTATAGTTAAGAGCTTTTTATAGTTAAGAGCTTAGGCTCTGGATTCAGATGGCTTGAGTTCAGATTCTGGCCCGCCATTTAGCTAACTGGAGTCTTGAGAAAATCACATGACCTTTAACGGTCCAGTTTCCTCATCTGCAAAAGTTATATTTCTAATAGAGTTGTAAGGATTAAATGAGATAATGCATGCAAAGGGCTTAATAAAGAGCATGGCACACAGGAAGTGCTCAATAAATGTTGGAAATCATGATTAATTTCACTGTACATTTTCATTTTGACATTAGCTATAGGCTAAACCTTAATTACTTAAAGCCACCAGTAGTTACACATAGAATGAATGACAGAGTTACATGTCAGACTAACCAAGTACCCTTGATGGTATCATTATGTCCTCAATATATTTATGCTGAATATTAATCAAGTTTAAGAACTGCTTACAAATAATACTAAAATGCATTTTAATTCTCTTTGCTGTTAAGGGGGAGTTTTACATTGCAGCTTAGAAGCCTTTCTTCTAATAGTAGAGATTTGGTGTCATGTGGTGTTCATCAGTTTGAAAAGAAGTATTTCTGCTGTTTGCCTCAAGATGTACATACAGAGATGGCTGATTCTCAGAACTTCTATAGAATTCCATTAGCCAGTCCTGCCAATTGAAATTTGGCATTTAATATTTGCATTTTTCTATTCTTGCATAGGAAAGGAGCTTGTCACATACCTAGTTTAGTGATGGAAAGCATTTGGAGAAAGTTGTAGAGAGTGGGGCTCAGGCTCAAGAATACAATGAAGTAATAAAGTTGTTAACCTCATGTATAAAATCCTCCATGCAGATGTTGCTTAGTGATGCAGCTAGTGCTTCTGGAGAAAAAGAAGCAGGAACCAAATAATGAAGACTACATCAATGGGAACAAGTGATACTTTTAGGTGTTTTGTTCTCAGAATATTTTAAAAGAAAGGAAATTAACAACAGAAGAAAAATATTTACAATATGAATTAATGGTTTTTAAAAGAAAAAAAAAATCTTTCTGGAGATACTAAGATTGACCTAGAAGTTGATCCAAGGACCAGATGCTGAAACTGCACTTCAATTGGTCACTAGAAAGATCCCAGCAATCCCCAGCTGGTTTCTCAGGCTGCTGATTCCCTTTATTTGGTAATGGGGTGTGTGCAGTACGTCGATTAAAAAATATGTATTTCCATTCCATTGCTTTTGAAGGGGAGCAGTTGTCTTTCTCTTATTAAAGAGCTTGTGATACACAGGAAAGTGATGTAATTTTATTTATTAGTCAAACATGTGAGGATTCTAGATAAGACAACAAGGGTTTTTTTCCCTAGTTTGTAGAAATCTAGAAATTTAAGTGATGATTTGAGGATCAAGAAGGGAGAACTGAATCAAAATAAAATTTACTACACCTATTCTTTGGTTTTGGAATTCTTTGGCTTTCTTCTAAA